GGGTTTACATTTAATAATATGAAATACTTTGTCCTAGATATCGTTTATTTATACTCCAGGGCACAAGGGCCGAGTACCGCCCATTTTACCTGAAATTGTGAATTGCAACAATATACAGTACCTCCCTTGTACATAATTTCGGCAATGTTAAATATAGAGATGGCATCAGAAGAACATATATAAAATAACAATTTACTTGCGTGCATTTAAATTCTACTGTGTGCAAAAGAAGATCTAGAGTTTCTAGATAGCTTTGAAATCTTGCTAACTCTCGTTTTTTCATGTCGCGATTTTAATCTCTAATTTTGATAGCATATTTGAATTTAGTGACACGTTTTCTCCAATAATAGCTTTGGTTTATACAGTTATGTCATTTAAATCATTTTCTATGACATTTGAAAAAACTTGGGCCAAAGCTCCATTGGTGCAGTGCTAAAATTCATTCAAACCTTGGCTAATTTGTTTTGACAACCATCTTGTATTGACAATATTGACAGGGCCATCCAATAGTATGTCATTCGAGTTTCAGACAGATTCAACCAACACTTTTTGATAAATCATGAAATTAATTGACTATTGCACGTTTCTAGCATTGAAGTGAATGGAGGTCTGGCCCAAGTAAAGTCAAAGACAAACAAAAGTGACATTTATTATGTCAGCGTTATTCAGCTATTTAGAAACTATACAATTACTTCCGTGGGTTCTAAGTTAATAATAATATTTTTAATTTCACTTATTTTGAGCAAAATACTTTGGGGTTTAGTACCCTTTGTATTCGTTTGACTTCACTTCTTAAAAGAGAGCTAACTAGACTCTGCACGCAGGGTAGGGGTTTAGGTACTCTTCAGACATTCTAGAGGCGAGAATTAATTAAAACCAGACGGGTTTTTAGTTTTATTTTATCGTTTTTATATATAACCTCGTCTTCTTGAATAATTTTGGATTTGATTCATCCTTTACACTGACGTTTCAAGTATATCAGTTTCAGATTTTAGTCATTATGTGAAACAAAATCGAGAGATGTATGCAATAAATAAGTGCCATTTTTATCAACTCAGTTTGGAGTCGGAAAAGTGGCTTGAGAATGCAGGAAAACTGACCAATCAGAATGCCAGATTCCTCAGTATTTTTAAAGTGAATCTTCGATTATCGAGAAACTTTTTCACGTTCAAATTTCACCTACTTATCGCACGTGGATGGCTTCAAAAGTGATACCATCGGGAAAACTGACAATGTAAGCTTCACTATGACATTATGCTTTTAGAAATCGATCGAGAAATGGCGGAGAAAAAGAACTATAAATGTCATTTCTGTAAAACGTGAGTTTGGGGAGCTAAAGTGGATTGGGACTGCAAGAAAGTCGGCCAATCAGAACGCAGCATTTCTTCAGTGAAACTTGGCATTCGAGAAATCACCTTTACTCTCTATTTCCCCCATTTTCGAGAAATCACCTTTACTCTCTATTTCCCCCATTTTCTCGTAATTTGGTCATTACAAAAGTGGAACCATCGGAAAGCTATTGTTCCGAGCAAAACCATGGTCTTATTTATTTCGAAGTCTATCAATCAACAGCAGAGTTAAAGACTAATAAATTCCATTTTTATACAGCCAGTTTAGAGCAAAAAAGTGGATTCAGACTGCTACAACTTTATGCAAATTAGCTAGACGTATCTAGGTTAGTAGCCCACGTATGTGGGTTAGTAGGTTTGTTCTGTCAAGGCCGCGCATGTATCAATGCATAAGCAGATATCCGTTTCAGCATACTTTGAAAGCGTACCTTACGTGTTCTTTCACGGAATCCACGTAGATTGAAAAATGCTGACATATTTGGTCATTTCTATTTATTACACCTTAATTCGTATGATAGAATAGCGGGGATATTCTTTTTTCCATCTGAAAATGTACAAATGTACTTCAACATTGGGTGGGGAAAGATTTGTACATCAAACAAACTTCATTCAAATACATGAAGAAATAAACTCATATTATCGAGAAATTCTTGAAACCTCTCAGTCTGTTGCAGTTGCACGCAAAGACAAGAAGACTTTATTTCATTATTTGGTTCTATAATACTTGCATAATCAACTGCATGCCTGTATGTACCTCCATGCAGAAACCATTTTTTTAGGACTATACGATTAAAGTTTTGTTTTTTGTGGATAATGACAAATATTCTACTATTTTCCGTATTATCTCCGAAGGAAAACTGAATCTTTCACAGATTTCATATCGCAAACATTATCTCGAAATATAGTTGACAATGCTTTTTGCCATACTAACTGACTTATAATTAATACATGTTGTTGATAAACGATGGAATCAGACTATGTTCGGCCTATTGTCATAATTAAAACAATCAGTCATTTCAATCATTTTATTCTATATGGGCTTATTTTAAATATTGTTTATCCGAAGTAAAATTGGTTGTCTGAGTACGTTTGAGATCGGCGTTTAGCGCATTACATTACGTTGAAGCCTGGACGATATAAAAATGACTTTTTTATTTATACCAGGTGATGGATGGAATCAGACCATGTTCGGTCTATTTTCGCAATTAACAAATCAGTCATTTAAATCATATATCAAAAGTATAATTGGTTGACTGAGTACGTTTGAGATATCAGTCATTTAAATCATTTAATGCTATAGGCTAATTTGGAATATAAAAATATAAAATTGGTTGTCTGAGTACGTTTAAGATTTCAAACAGTATACTTTCAATAGAAAATAAAAATGGATTAGAGCAGTATTGATTATTTTTAAATTTATAAGGAAAAAACCACCCCCGCTTGTAAGGTTAGACTTTCACCAGGCCGTCATCGTCTCCCTAGATATCCAGCATGAAAAAAGTGCATTTTAACATCATACAGAGATGGTTGCTCAATGCTAATATAATTTATAATGAAAACAATGCAGCTCTGCTTTCAAGGTTAGACTTTCACATGGCCTTCATCGCCTCCCTAGTAGATATCCATCATTGCCCAGCCGATCTTGAGGGTTCTGAAAGTTCCTGATAATAAATACTCTTTATTTCTTAAAATCATAAATAAATTTACATTTTTATTCACGGCGTAATCGCCCAGAAGGGCATTTCTACTGCCGCTTTGACTGAATTTAAATTACAATAGTATATAACATTTAGTCAAAATCATAGTTAGAGTAAGAAAAATATACAATTTACATACTTTCTGTTTTTCTTCCTGTCTGTACCCCCTTGGTGCCCTGAATTTGAATTACTGTTATAATATAACGTAATGGATAAGATGTGACTTATACATTGTACATACTATTTTGTTGGTCACTTGTTTCGCATGTTACTAGCTTCACGTTTACGATCTATACTAACAAGTACAAGTAGGCTTTCACAATTAAACCATGGTTCATTATACACATCACACATGTTCTGCCAATTAAAGTTAGCCTGAATTTGTATGAATATGAATTATCCTGATATTGTATATTTCTTCATTATTTTTGTACATAGCATGTATATTGTTCGTATATGCTGAATTTCTTTAATTTGAAAGAAGGAATAGTAAAAGAAAGAGGATAAATATTTGTATCATATTTGAATTTGAATTATTGTTTTAAAATATTTAATAAGCTACGCCTAATGTGTTGCGCAAGAACGGGCGCATTACTAAAAGTAATTACGTTTAGTTTTCAAAGTTTTTTTCTTTCAACCGTGCGATATTTCCAATGTTAATTTTAGCTATAAAACCCCTCTAAGAACTGAAATATGTATTGATTAAGTGACGTTCAACATGTTACCATAGTAACTAAAAGTGAAAATAAAGCATTTTAACACTTGCAATATCATCAAGATAGATACCAGTGGAAGAAATATCATGGAGTCGAAAAAACATAAAAATCGATTTTTTCATCAATATTATAGTCATTTCCGTGGCATTTTGACGTCATAACAATTCCAAAACCCCATGGCACTCAAAGAGTTAAAAGACTTTATAGACACCCTGTGTTCGCCCATTTGAAAAGTTGACATCACTCCCTGTCAGAAATACTTTCCTACTTGCACTTTGATCGCTCTATTTTTATTTCTAAATATCACCATTCAGACATTTTATCCCCGCTCAACTGAGACGAATTGATTACAAAGCAGGCGAGCAATTTGGCAATATCTCCTTCATAAAACTAAGTCAAGAAGTTAATGTTATAAAGCGATTTGATTAAAGAAATCTAATGGATACTAATGAATATAAATTGGCTCCTTTTTGATGGGTGATTGTAGCTTTAAATTGATTAATTTAAGAAAGCCATGCTCTCTGAGCACTTTAATCTGCTGAAACTTTTTCACTTTCATCTTGGTTTACTTCTAAAAGCACAATTTTTCTGTATTTATTTGAAGTTGATCAATCCAATAATCAGCAATGGTCTTCGAGTGATATAACATAACTACCATGCGACAGCTAGCTGTAAATATCATTTTGAAGCAAAAGAGCAGTTAGATTAGATCTAGTTGTCTGGAGTTCATTTCTGGGTGATTTCATAAAGTCCACCGTTCTTTTATACTGTCATGTTATGGTTTCTATGGTAACAACAATTGCTTTAACTTTGGTTAACTTCATGAAACTTAGTCCCTAAAGACTTGCAATTTTGTTGATTTGTGATAACAAGTCCAAAAATCAAGGTATAAAGAAAGAAAACATGTCTAGCGAGGCCTACATTAGGAATGTTGGCCTGTGGTTAAATCATATCCAAACTAAAGAAGTCACTGTCATTAAATATCGATAGAACATTAACTACATTACGAACATTCAATCACTCTATCTACAGGAAGTGTACCTTCCTCTAAGTGATTCAAAGCCTCGATGTATCCTAATGCGATCCTTTTTACTGAGCACCTAATTTCCCAACATTTGTCATCCTTAGCTTTAGTCATTAACAGATTAAATAACAGCGCAAATAAGGCTCTGTTGAAAATAAAACATGAAATGGCATATAAATGATGCTAATGATTCATAATTACTTTTTTATTGCAGGTCATTACCACCCCTATGTTTCCTGCAATATCTGGATATCTGTCGACTTCTTCTTCTGTAACTGCACATTTCTCCATATGGCGTTTGTTAACATGGATATATTTCTCCGTCTGAAAGATCCCTTGCGAGCACGTCATAGAGCAAGCGTGTTGTCCACGTGCACCAGGATGATCCTTCCATGGCTAGTGGCCTTTATTCAGAGTTTTACTGAATTCATCGTAAGTCATCAAGCCCGGGAAAGTCAACTCATGTTAAATGTTTGCCTCGAACCAGATGGCAATTTTTCAATTCTTGGAATCTTGCTATCGTTCTTCATCCCGTGTTTCTTTGCCGTGCTGTTCCATTTTCTCAGTAGTAAAGAGGTCAAGAACATGCAGAATGATGTCAATGGGAATAATGACATTTATCGATATATGATCCATGATGCCATTTTGGATGATGCCACTGATCGGAGTTATAATGCGATAAATGAGGGATCAACTAATGGTAAATCCAATATGGCGGCTGATTTTGATCAAAATGAAGTCAGTGATGATGCATCAATGAGTGGAGCTGAGAGTGATTTTAACGATATTGAGGAACATATGGAGGATGAATGTAACCAAGGCAACCAACGATATGAGAACTTTGTTAATGCTGAAAATGCCATTTCTCTTTCCGATCCACATGATGGTAATACAGATTCACATGAAACCTACAGCACTATACCAATGGAGACAATGAACACTCCAGAAAATGACACCAATCCAACAGGTCTAGCCAACCATCTTCGAACAGGAGACCCATCCCCATCATGCACCTTGTTGCTTAGGGACAACATAGTGGAGACACCTATCACCAATGGAGGGAATTGTCAAGAACACCAACCAACGGCTAAGGAGGTCCATAAACTCCAAAAACGTAAGAAAAAACTTCTATGGGAGTACCAAACAATTGTTTTCTTACGGAAAGTTCTTATCTTATCGCTATTAACATGGACCCCTATATCTGTTGGTATCATAATATACGGACGCTGTGAGGACTGCCAGACTATATTCATGGCATACCTTATCAAAATTCTAAAATGGCTGGCCTATTGTGCAAGTTTTCTCCACCCGATTCTGTATGCTTTTTTTCAAAAGAAGATTGGTCGAGCCTATTGGTCTTTGTTAGCATGTAAAGCATGTAACAGACAACACAAGAGAGTAATTCGGGGTGTGTCATACTAAGCACTAAAAATATTGAGATCTTCGAGTGAGAGAATTAAGGACTCATATTCAGCTGATGACATACATGTATTGCTTTTTCATTTATCCTGTTGTATTGGGTAACATGTAAATACTTCTATATTTAAATGCTTTTCATTGAGGACAATTTGATATATAGTTGTTCTAAGTGCATGTATCATGAAGGCAATATAATACTGAGATTTTCTGATGCTTTAATCACATGTTGTTCAATGCAACTTTTAAACCAGTCTAGTGCTGCATCCAATTGACAAATATGTAGGGCGCCACTGAATTGACACCTGAAAACATGACATCTAAGATCATTAATTTGACACCCAAGATCATTGATTTGACACTCAAGATCATAAATTTGACACTCCAGGTCATTGATTTGACAACCAAGATCATTGATTTGACACCCTGATCATTGAATTCACATCCAGGATCACTAAATGCACATCTAAGATCATTAAATTGACACTCAAGATCATTAATGTGACACCCAAGATCATGGATTTGAAACCCAAGATCATTGATTTGACACCCATATAAATATAAGAACAAATCTTAATATCCTAACCCACATCAATTTTTGCCAAAATCGCTAATGTGTAACTAAAACGGCTTTCCAAGATGTTGTCATGTCAGAAAATATTGTAAATTACTTGCTTTTAATAAATGTTTTAACATACAAAGAAGAAAACATTTTGTTGAAATATGTTAGAGATATAACAAGTACTGCATGAATTCAATTGAACAAATGAAACCTCCAGTAAATGAAGATGATAACTTATAGTTTCTTCAGAAGCAGAACTAAGTCAATCTGCTAGTGTATGCCAGTTATGGTACTATTTGATATGAAAGATCCTTATTTTTCATTAAAATATTTTGTTTTTTAAGACTATATTTTTTCTGGCAAACTGAGTGTACCCAGTGGTCTACATGGTGAACCTGTATCTTAATTATCCTCCTTAATTATGAAACATACTACTCAAATTCCTTTTAAAATGAAAATGTTCAAAACTGTTTCAAAATATTTTGTTTTCCCATAACCCTTCCAAGGCCATGTTTACCTAAGTATTGGAGCAAAAATGAAAAGTCCAATTTTTTAATTTACATACATAAAGTGCCAACGAAATTTGCCATCAGCATCATAGCTTAAGATTGCTTTGGATAAAGTACTTTTAGTTGGGACTACCGACACAAAGTTTGACTTAAATTTTTTGTCTATACCATGTGGAAAGAGAAAAATCTCTACTGGCTTCTAACTCTCTAAAAAGTCAACTTAACCTTAAGCTGAATTCTGGAAGTTTTGAATGAAACGAGACATTTTAAACATAATAAAATATCACCACCTGCAAAAAGTTACAAAAAATGTAAAAATTAGTTACAGATTCCAACTGGGAACAGCTGAATGCTGACACTGAATGCCAATGTCAATAGCAGTAAAAGAAAATGAAGACTTTTTATAAACTGCTTCTTTATAAAAATTGCTTCAGCCTTTTTTATTTTAGGTTATTGTTATTTATTTCCTTATTATTCAACACAATTATTTACATAGATTGTGAGGGGCCAAGGCCATATAGCATTATTATTGGCCTCGCTCTAGAAAGAGAAAAACATAAAATAAATCACTGGAGTGTGAAGGATTGCAACGGCCAGACGGCTGACCACCAGGTCTTTCCCGTGATGATGTATATGAATGTTAGTGAGAGATGATGTGAAATGAGGAGGATGGTCATTCTAAGATATTGTCAATATAATTTGAAGATAGTTGAAGGCATTTTGTATTCAATTCACTATTTAAATTTTTTGCATTCTGGTTTTTCCAAAATAGCACATAATATCAAGATTATCTAACTTTAGGATGTTCTGTATGTAATCATTTCTATGTATGGCGGTTAGAGGGCAGTCGAGTAAAAGATGAATCTTTTCTTGATCTTGGTGGCTACAGGGGCACGAAGGATCTATAAAATTATGTCTAAAAAAGTCACTTTTAAGGGCAAGATCGCTTCTGATTTTATTAAGTTTAGTTTCAGAAGACCTTTTTAAATTACGTTTTTTTGTTAAATTATTCTTTTTATTAAATGAGTATTTCTTATTATAGTTTTTCTTAAAGATCGGTAGAGTTGGCTTCAGCCTTAGCATGTACCCTTGTGGCACGACAACTAGCTACATTAGAAAACATGATTAATCGCTACCCACCCAGCACACTGATCGCAAAATTAGCAAATATGGCAAATGTATGACCAAAATAGAGCAGTGTCTTACACAGAATCACTGGTCCTGGTTATTAGCTAAACTGGAAGCAACTAAACATTCATTCAATTACCTAATTGGCTATATTTTCTAAGTGATTTATGACACTGGCCACAAGATACTGCTTAATAAATCAGTTATATTTTACTTACTGACACAACTGCTCTGCTATATTTAGATGCATGTACTGCCGTACTGTGTTACGTATAAGTCCCTCTGGAAATAACAGGATTTTGGGATTTACTTCAGTTTAAACTGAAAATGTTCTCAATTATACTACCCAAAAAACTCACTTTAAAGGACGATTCTCAGTTTGGAGAACAGTCTCCTGGGCTAATAATTTTTTTCATGAAAAATATAGAAATATTACCCAAAACGTTCGCAAATATGTACTGAAAAAGCAATCAAAAAGGACAACATTTGATTGGTCAATATTTTCCCACTATGCATTTCGAGTAGCTATTTGCGTGACCCGAAAGTTCTAAATCAAACTAATTACGTAATTTTGTTTTTACACCCGCACGCTAAATAAAACAATGACACCATCGGAAGTATTCTTCGTTGTCATTGCTTTAATAGTCAGTATACCGAGTTTAATCAATAAAAGATTGTACAATGACCAACAAATTCGAAAACGAGTATTATAGATTTGCTTTCGGACCACTGAACAGATTGACCTAGATAATAGCGATACGTCTTCTTTGGTCTACTGCTCAGTTGTTTGTGGGTTTTCAACGTAACTCTATAATGTAATTTGAAGATGAATACTTTTATTCAGTTGTTGCATCGATGTTGCAGTTTGTAGTGCGGTAAGATTGGCAGGAAAGTATTGAAAGTCGAATGGAATTGTCTTCTCCAAAATGGTGACTAGTCAACTGATCACGTGACCTTCTCTTCCGGAATATTTTCTCACTTTTCAATCATCGTTTTCACCACGCTATGAATCAATACAATGAAAAAAATAGCTGTTATATTAAGACTAATAAGAGATCAATCATTTCTAATAATTTTTTCTGTACTCTTGTACGGGAATATGAACGAATATATCGTTTGAAAAATAGGTGTGAAAATCCCCATGTTAAACCTATGAGGGAAAACAAGGAAGTATAAATTTGTTCCTCCGCGAACTGCATCATGGGAAATATTTTGACCTTATAAGGAAAGATTTTAGCGTCTCCTCTTTTGAAGAGGGAACAACGATTTCGAGAATTGAATACGATATTGAACAAAACACTCAATCGGCCAGGCGCCGGCAGATGGATCGGAGCAAATGTGACCCAGGCATTAGTGGAACAATTTTTAGAGTCCTAAGACCAACTGACTTAATGTTAAATGAACCTCTTATATTAGGTTTCCACTTTGGCAGGTTTTATTGTTATCAGTAGTGAAAAAGCTGATTTCTCCAAAACCAGGCAAATGTAGTATAGGAGCTAGGACAATTGGTTTAAATTACGAGCATGGACCATTCAATGGATATGTGCATTAGTTCAGACAAATGGCATGTTTGATTTCTCAGAACATTTTTATAGACAGACAGATGGACAGATGGATGAGCGTACAATTTCATGGGGTCACCATGTGAGGCAAAACCCATAAACAAACTTATTTAAATGCATTTCTATAATAATAATACTTATGGTAATATCTAATAATATCTTACGCCAGCTTTCAGGCATCTTTGCTACAGCAAGTGGTGTTAAGTCATCAAATGTTGCATCCAAGACCTGAAACAAATACATTCAAAATGTAGAGAAAATATGTATAATGTACAGTAGAAATTTACAGGGGACAGTAATACATATATTCAATGGATATGTACAGTTAATATGTTTATCCTACACTTAGTGTACTAAATGTTTAATAATAACATTAAAAAATCAATTCGATATCTATTGGCGCATGAATCAAAATCATAACATATCCGATAAAAAGGGGACATGTCCATCCCATTTTTGAAAACATTGCCTATCATTGATGCGGCTAGTATGCCATCTAACTAATCAGCTGAGAATAATAACATTGCTTTAGAAAAATGCTTCTCTCCAAACTTCTTTCCAAATATTCTATGGTCAAAAGAGGGTGTTTTAGTAGTGATCATGAACCAGTGTGTAGAAAGTGTGCAAGATGACCAGGAATAGCTACATATCAAAAGTAAGATTTAGCTAAAGTTCATATGTTCTAATCTACAGTCTCTTATGAGCTGATGAAAAATATTAGAAAAAGTAACCGATCACAGACCGTCTGACTGACCAACCAACTGACCAAATAAACAAACAGAAAGAAAAAGAAACAACTAGGCAGATAAAAACGTATACAGTTTTCTATTGGACACAAAATTCTTAATGCAGAATAGACTCTTTTATGATATTCTATTTTTCACTTACGACTGCCTTTACATCTGGGTAATTCATAGCTGCCCAGGTTGCTGTGTAGCCCCCTATACTCCAGGCAAACAGCACTATTTGGTCTGGTTGGAAGCCTAACTTATTAATGGCAAACTGCATCACTACATCTACTGCATTCTGCTCTGAGTCTGGGAGGGGAACACCCTGAAAATATCAATGAGATTTTATCATGCAATTTCATCATGAAATAATCGGTGAAATAAATGTTTGATAAATGTTTATCATTCAAAAACATTTCATCTCTGAGTATTATATTTATTTATTAATTAAGACATTTTCATGCAAATCTCTGCTTCCTTCACAGATGAAAAAATATATTCTTTAAAAACTAATAATATAAATATTTTTTTATGCAACATAAAATGTTTTGTGAGACGACTGTATCGTTGTCTTGCTAAAATCATTTTTATTATATATGTAAAGGGTTGGTGATGTGGTTGTCTGACCATGCGGACTTAATTTCAATCCAGTGTCTTCAGTGTTACTTTTAAGTGATTACCAGAAATATTACTATTATTTTTTGTATAATTATTGTTATACCACTATACTTCTTGGACTGTATTGTATACATGTATTATACATAATTGTATATTGGATGGACATTTAATCAGCCATTATTTGTTTGCCACTCATAGATTCCCCTTTTCCTCCCTTCAGATATGACTACCCAACTTGTTATTATTGACCTTTGTGTATCTGGGCAGCACTGTACCACATTAGGTGTCCCCATTTCATATCTTGTGGTGGCTTTAAGGTTTCAAATAGTATTGCTGGACCATTACAGTTGAAACGCAAAAATCTTGATTAAAAAATGTCAAGATATCTTAGAGAAGCAAAATTTTGTTCACAAAACATTCGAAGATGTTCTTGATAAATTGTTCAACATTCCCTTATTGGATTACACGATTATATGCCTGTCTAAGTAATATTTTCATTTCCAAAGCCTTGAGCGAGAAAGGATGTTCGAGAAAGGATATTCATGCAATATGTATCATATAACTGCCAAGCCTGCCTTTTTTTAATCAGTCAAACTCAGGTCACATGTTATGAAAGATCAGGTGGTATTCATATAGTCTGTGAAACGACATAGTCACATTTCATTATGTTATTGAGATGATTTATATTACATAAGTTGAAATATATACTGTATGTACATTAATTTTCTTCTCTAAGATGTCTTATTAAACAATTATATAATAGTCATTGTGAAATTGAGTCTCTTGTAATTTTGATGTAATAACTCTCCGTGGAGTCATCATTACTTCAATTTATATCAATAAGTATATGTATAATTACATATGAACAACAACACCAAACATATTCTTATCAATGTCTCAAAATAATAGATGATTATAGAACCTTGAGTTACAGTGATTATAATATTGACTTACATATAATCTTGACCTTATCAAGCAGATGGGGTGCTTGAAAAATCTTAAAGGTATGTTATGGTTCTTGTCTGCAAGTATCATAACAGTTTTTATGTGAACCAATAGGATTCCTTGGACAATTGTGGTTGGAAGCTATAGCTAGGAACTTTCCCTGGCACCTCACTTTGGACCAGTACATTAAAGACACAAGAGTACATTAAAGACACAAGTTCTGTTAGACAATTTTTCAAATAAAAAATTCAAAATTTAAAATTCAAAATTTTGAATTTTTTATTTATATATATAAATTTATATTTATATGAATATTTAATTTAAATTGTCAAAACAAAAAATTGTAATAAAGTCTGTGACAATGAACATTAATAATAAATGGATTTAATATGACCAGACTATGAACTTATTTAATGTAAACAAATACTTCCTGCTTTTACATATTCTATATGAATGCTCAAAACTGTAATGACAAAGAAGCAGTCAATCTATTATGCCAGCCTGGCAACATATCAACATATAATGCCAATCTATTGTGCCAATATGGCAAAATACCATCATATAATGCCAATCTGGCAACATGCCAATCTATTGTGCCAATATGGCAAAATACCATCATATAATGCCAATCTGGCAACATGCCAATCTATTGTGCCAATATGGCAACATATCAACATATAATGCCAATCTGGCATCATGCCTATCTATTGTGCCAATATGGCAAAACACAATCATATAATGCCAATCTGGCAACATGCCAATCTATTGTGCCAATATGGCAAAACACAATCATATAATGCCAATCTGGCAACATGCCAATCTATTGTGAAAATATGGCATCATGCCAACCTATAATGGCAATCTGGCAATTGGTTGCTGAAAGTTGCCGAAATGTATCAACTTGAAACAAATATTTTTCATGTATATAATCAAATTGGTGTCCTAACATTATGTAATTTGTTTATAATAAATAAAATGAAAAAACGGTACATCAGCACAAACAAATGCATAGTTTAAAAATATAATGGTCATTACAGCATGGAAAAATTACTCTTTTGAAAGTCACAGTTCAAGACATGATTTATAGTTTATCCGTTAAAAGACATGAACAGTTTCAAAAAGATGATGACCTATCCTAGTATATTACGAGATGTCTATCATATAACATAATGTACCATTGCTACTTCAACAATGGAAACCCATTTAGTGTACCTGTTAAAATATTTGGTGTACCTGTTAACCCTACTATCACACCAAACTAGTTCTCACTACGTTCTCGAAAATGGGCTTCAACTGTCTACGAACAGACTGAACGTACTTAGAACCTTTTGGGGTCTATTTACAAACTTCATCGAACATACTCGAACGGGTAGGTCCTCTGGAACTTAGAACATGCTCAAAATGTTCTCTTGGTCGTCACGTTCTACAATTAGAACAAGTGACAACCTACTAACGACGAGCTGGATGTTCTACGAACGGAACCGTCGTACTTCAATCCTACTAGGGACGTTTTTACAACGAGTTGAACTGTCTGAGGATGTATTGAGAATGAGGTAGAACTAATTGCAAACGGGTTAAAACTGATTAAGAACTTATTAATCAACGAGTTAGCAAAAATATAGCTATCACACCAGGCAAGTTGCCACTGCGTTCTTCAAAACTGGTTTTAAACTGCGTGCGAATGGAATGAACGTAGATACAACGTTCTACGGTCTGTTTACGAACTTCATGGACTTTCCCGGACAGGGAATGTGATTTAGAATTTTGAATCGATTCAAAATTCGATGGCGACCATACCGTTTTGTAATCAGGTCATGATGACCTTCTAGACTAAGGGACTTGTTATACGACGTTGCACACCGACGGGGTGCGACCTGAACGAACTGCGAATGAGATGGACGTATTGAAGACTGTTTATGAACGAAGTAGCTAATTATTTTAGACATATTCCCCGACCACAGCCAGATTGAGCCCGTTTTACGACGTTTTCGTAGGACTGGCAAGAACGGGTAAAATCTAGTTTGGTGTGATAGGGGGGTAAAATACTGAGGTACGGTATTACATTTTAACACGCACTGCATTTATTTTCTCAGTTTACCACTTATATAATATATATATATATTAATCATGATTTGTGTTAAATTATCAGATATCTCGTATTCACCATTATAAGAAAAAGTTTCAGATATCACAGAAGGTCCTATCTACAGAAACTGTAGTATATAAAAAAACATGCAAACAATCATCAAGAATAGACCTATTTTGTAAAACCAACAGTATCATTGGAGATAGTATTTAGTATTATATTGAGGCAGTAAAATAAAAGAGCTTTTCTGGGGAGAGTAATGACATATGGCCAAATTTCAATATCCCTATATACTTGAACATGATTCTGTTGGATAATGAAAAGCCTTTTCTTTTATAAGTTCCCCATGATTTATTTTAAGTCGAGAATGATGTCTTTGTAGTTGAGTTTGATGTACAAAAAAAGGGAATTATATCTATTTGCTAAAATTATCAATGATATTAATACAAAGATTTTTGTTACAAAAAGAATATGATCTGAGAAGAGCAATAACATATTCACAAAATGATAATAATAGAACTTACTGGGAAAATATCAATGGCCTTAATTAAGGACTCATGCAGATTAAAAAAGAGATGGCAATTCGCAAAATGCAATTGGGTTTTTCATCAAACATGTGTCTTGGTTTATGTGTAAATATTGTTTTAAAAATTAAAAAAAATTGGAATGTTTTGAAAAAATTGCATTGTTCATGGCTTATATGTCCAAAGATTCAATATTATTGTGTTATAGATAATTTTTGTTTTGGAGAATTTTGAATTAATTTTACATGTAAATGTTTACAATTAAACCTATTGAATTCTTCATCATTAATTGACAGTACTGGAGACCATTGATGGGAATTATAGTATGGTGATGGTAACTATTACTTGTGGGATCTAAATTTTGTTTTACACATCAGGTAGATTGAACAAGATTTCTTTCATAAGTCACAAGAGAAAATTACAAAAATGTGTTTTTCAAGATTTCCAAATCGGCAATTATTCCAAAATATTTGTCTAATACAGTTTTCAACAATTCTCATTTCAGCCTCAATTTGAACACCAGGTCGCTTAAATGTGTTCACGTAAATTGTCAGTCTAGTATAATGTTATTGACTTATGACATAACTCTGTAACATACATGTAGGTGTCAGTTTACACGTATCTAATACAAAATGCAGGAAACAAGTTATTAGACATTCATACATTCTCATATTGGAGGAAGGGTTCACAATAAGGTATGTTAAAGTTATTCAAATGAATTACATTTATTTTCTATTATTAACACTTCAGAAATAAAAAACAAATTAAGATAAGCAGTATGACTATAATAATCATACAGTAAAAGCTTTGCAACTATTTATTGGTCTTAATCTTTAATTTTCAAGCCCCACATGAACACTTTAATAAGATTCAAACCATAACCTAATTAAATAGGAAGTGTCAGATTTAAAAACAATCTGTTACAGAAACAAATATATTTCAAAATGTGCAGGAATCAAACAATCAATACTTTCGTTTAAGCAAAATTTTTAGATTTTTTTTACTGAAAATGGCAGCCATTTGAATGGGAGCAAGGACTCGTACAGATGGCAGTTAACTACTAGGTTCTTGTTCACATCTGCCCCATTGGTTTGCGTGTAAATATTGCTGTTTTAAAACTTCAAATTCACTGCATTTATATGTTATATATTA